TTGCAAGGGATATTGTGACACCCATAATCGATGAGCAAATAAAAAATTATAAAATAGAGTCAGTTGAGTTTGAAAAGTTAACACTGGGGAACTTACCTCCAACTTTTCAAGGTTAGTACACTTGGATGGTATTGTTAGTTGATAATATTCCCGAGGCCATCCACACCATTTTTCCTTGTAAACATATTTAATCCTCTTTCTAAGTCTGTATCTCATCCTTAAATTTAACTTCAAGAAGGAATAATAAATTAATTGTGGTTACTATGTATGATATGAGTTGAGGTAACTAAAATTTACCACAATCATGAAAAAGAAGAGAAAAAAAAGTTCTCTAAGGAAATTATACGAAGACAAAAGGCTAAAGAAAAGGAAAGGGATATAGGAACTATAGTTGCTTTTCAATTTTCATCATAGTTTTCTTTTTGGCTAAAAGCTTTTCACCATCCTCAGAGATTCTTGCAAATTATTAAAGACCAGGGCACCTAATAAAGTAACTATGTTCTTTTAAAATGAGATTCTTTCTTTTGTGTATACAAAGGATAGCTACACATGTGTCATTTTCGATGTTTGATTAGTTTTGTCATAATAATTTGATATATGAATGTTGTCAACCCCTTAGTTGTCTGCATTTCTTCTTATCAATAGGGATGAAAGTCTTTGTGACTGATGAGAAGGAACTAGTTATGGAGACTTGTTTAAAATAGGCCATAAATCCTAATGTCTTTGTTGTTGTTAAGGCATTTAGATTTAAAGCAACTGTTCAGTTTCCACTTTTATTTTCTCATGTATAAGAAAGAGAATAAGGCAAAAGGTGATGCTAACTTGCTAAGCATTTAGCATCCTTTCAGGCGATAGACTTGCAAGTTTTTCTTTCACCACAGGTTACATTGAAACCTTTGGTTCCAACATTTCCCTGCTTTTGCAACATTTTTGTGCCTCTTATGGAGAAGGTTTGTGATTATTATTGTGTGACTTACTCTTTTCACTTACTATGCATGAACATTTGACTATTTATGAGGTATAAATCAAGCGAGCTGTAGAGCTTAGATAGATTGTCCTTAATGGCCATAGTCAGTTATTCTGGTAGATTTTGATTCTTGATGGTCTGTTTAGATTCTATAATTTAGAAAACTGTCTTCCAATTTCTTAAAACACAAGATTTGGCCATTGGTCTAAAACTGGTGAAGTGATTAAAAAAGTTTAAACTCTTGTTAAACAATAGTTCTCGGTGAAGTGACAATTATGATTTCCCCCCCTTTTTTGGAGTAATCCTTCCAATATACATTAGATATATTTTAAGGCATGTCTATGTCCATTTCTTTAGCTTATCTTTGCCTGTCTTTAGCAAATTATGACAATCCTTGTTATTTGGGCCTATTATCTACATTTTAAGATGAATTTCAATTTTTCTCAACTCCTAGCAACTTTTTAAAGATAGCATTAAAATCAATATTGAGACATATATATACTTCCGGAACTAACATTAACTTGTATTTGTTTTTGAAAGACTCATTTTGTTTTGGTAATTATAATAGTATTAGGAATGGATGATACTCACTATCTCCATTTTATTATGTCTTTTATGTCGTAGCAACATGTTGACTTTAGGCTAAAACTTGTAGGGGTTGATCTTATGTCCACTCCTGGCCTCTACAGGTTTGTTCAGGTACAAATATGAGATGTTATATCCTTTGTCAATTTAGCACCCCTTGGGGGATAAGCTCTTTTTCTCTCTCTTATGATGGCTATTAATTAATGTTCGCATTAGTGAATTATATCCTATGATGTGCAACTCCCTCAATGCAAAACATTTGTTTTATGTATATATTGTTTAATGCATAAAACCTTTACAAGATATTGAGAACGTTAACCCAACAATCTTGCATCAAACTATAGGTGACTTGCAAATCTGTAGAAGTTTGATGGCTAAAGAGAGAAGAACTACTCAGTTAGTAACTGACAGGGGTAATCATAGAGGTTAGATGAAGAAAAAGAGTGTATGTGAGCTTTTAAGGTTAAAAGTTCTAGTAATACTTTACAATTAATTGAAAGGTACATTTGAAGTGTTCATTGTAATGTTATGTAGTACATATGCACCTAAAGAATAAACAATACACATTCTTTGGCCAAGAATGCATAGTAGCGAGTTTATGGCTTGAAAATGGAGGAGCCACCTTGCAGCATATTAAAAATCTTACGTTATTCCTTAGTTTATTGAGGGTTTATCATTACTCAAATAATCTAGAGAGTTTTTTTACAAAATATTATCAAAGATCAAGTTGTGAATATGTACTTGTGGCCAAAAACCTTGGAAGTGCAAGTTTTAGATCCAATAAAGTATGAGTCTGATTGTTTCTTATGTTGTTTTGTCATGGTATGTTCTTTTATTAGTTACTCAATATCTTAACACATAAATTTTATTATGAATTGTAGAGTATTAAAGAGGCCTGTGGGAATTCTCAATGTAAAGGTTGTGAGAGCCATAAAGCTTAAAAAGAAAGATTTACTTGGTGCGTCTGACCCTTATGTAAAACTAAAGGTTTCTGATGAAAGGATGAAATTAAAAAAGACTTCAATGAAGCACAAATGCTTGAGTCCAGAATGGAATGAAGAATTTAATCTTCTTATTAAAGATCTTGAGAACCAGGTTTTAAGTCTTAAAGTTTTTGACTGGGTCGGGTATGTATGTGTGCGTACATGCATGTGTGTTTGTGTCCTTAGTTGAAAGTATCTATCTTCAAGTCTAAAACCCCAGTTCTTATTTGAACTAAATGCTTTATTTTCAAAGGTTGGGAAGCATGAAAGAATGGGTGTAATATAGTCCCTATCAAAGAAGTTCCCCTTGATAAGGCTAAAGTTTTTGCTCTTAATCTCTTGAAAAACATAGATCCCTATGATGGAGAAAATGAGAAGTCCCGTGGTCAGATTGTTGTAGAATTAACATACAAACCATTTAAAGAGGAGGACTTGCTCAAGGACAAAGAGACACACATAATAAAAAATGTTCCTGAAGGTACTCCTCCTGGGGGAGGCCTACTTGTGGTTATAGTCCACGAAGCTCAAGATGTTGAAGGAAAGTACCACACTAATCCACAAGCTTGAGTTCTTTTCAAAGGGGAGCAAAAAAGGACGAAGGTGCACAATCTTAAGAGATACTTTGATTTTACCTTTTCTTGATTCCTTTTTCTCCTATAAGATTTTTCATTATATACATTGTAGTTTGTAGACTATCTTATTTTCATTAAGGAAAAGCAAATGAAATACAACAATACTCGTAAGGAATTTTGTTGAATTGACATCTATTATTTGTAATGCTGTAGCATATAAAAAAGAATAGAGATCCGAGATGGGCTGAGGAGTTCCAATTTGTAGTAGAGGAACCTCCCATTAGTGAGAAAATACATGTAGAGGTTGTCAGCACCTCATCATTCAGCTTGCTACATCATAAGGTACAAAATTCATAACTTCTTTTTTATGGGTTTAAATGATATTGATGTTAAAGAATGTTGTTAACATGACAATTCTTTGATAAACAAGAAGTTTATACACATTTCTGTTGCCTCATACACATAAGTGAAAGTTAGAAGAAGATGCCTTTGATTGTCCACAACATTTAAACTCCTCTTGCATTTTAGGTTGGCTGTTTTTGAATTGCTTCTAACTTATAAAATTAATTGACTCCCTTCATTTAGAGGTACATTTTGATTTTATGGCATAGATATGAGTGGCATTCTATTGTAATGTGTGCTACAATAAAGAACTATCATTTGAGCATAACATGTTTTGCTCTGAACATTCTTTGAGAACACTATTTTTGGAAATGTTTTTTTGGATTTGTCTTCCATTATTGATCTATATACATGCAAATTGTTGACAAGTACTTCAACTGCTCACCACTAAATCGCACTTAAAGGCTTTGCATGTGTTTTGACTTATTTGAATTCATGTGCTATGTTTTGGACTTTGTATGCTTGAGTTTATTTATCTATTCATTTATTTACTTTGATCTTGGCTCTGGACGTTAGGAATATTTGGGTTACGTTGAGATCAATCTAGCAGATGCTGTGACTAACAAGAGAATTAATGAAAAGTATCATCTTATAGATTCAAAGAATGGTCGCATCCAAATAGAGTTGAAGTGGATACCTTTATGAGCTCGAGAATATTATTCTTCCTTTTCCTTTTTGTTTCCTTCATTGATTCTTCTTTCTTTCTTAAATGAAGTCTTTGTTCTATGGCCATAAAAGGAAGCCTTATTTGTTCAATTTTAGGGCGATTGAGCGAGGTTGATGAGGACATTTCTTGAATTCTTCTCGCGAGATAGATTGTTTTGTTCATTTAAATGTAAAAAAATAAGCACATAATTTACAATCAAATGTGTGCATGCACACACATATAGAAAGAGAAATTTTGAATATCAATTTTAATAAGTTTAAAAGAAAGTGAGATTGTGATGTTTTATTATCTATTCTAACTCTATTATTTGATTCTTTGTACACATTTGATTTAAGTTGCATATGGTAGTAAATTAAAATTAAAATATATTGTTTGTATGCTTAAAACATCACTTTAATATTATTAATAAATAACAAATTGAAGAATTATTTTGAAAACACTCTAAATTCTTTCTCCACAAATAATTATCAAAATTGGAGGGGATAATTTTTTTATTGTAAAAGATGTTTAAATTTTAGAAAAAAGAAGTAAAACAAGTAAGCAAGGATGGCTAGGACGAATAGAAAGAACACACAAATTTTCTTTGAAAAAAAAAATCGTCAAATTTTGAGAATTTGTTTTAGACCTTTATGATTTATTTTCTTCCTCCCTCTCCGTCTTCTTCTTCTTTTTTTTTTTTTTAAGAAATGAATTCTCCTCATTTTTTTTTAAGAAATGAATTCTCCTCATTAAAATTTTGCGCGCTGATCTCCTTGAGCGGGAGATGAGTATGAACGCAGTCGAGTTCCCATCATTGTCTTTCTTGGTCGCAGCCTTCCCCCCCCCCCCCCCCCCAAAACAAAAAACAAAAATCCAGAGGCTTTTCTTCAACTCAGCAGTATCCACTCTCTCTTTGGTTTCCGAAGGTGTTTTTTTTTTGGGAGCAAATCTTTGGTTTCCAAAGCTGTAAAGCTTTGAAAGCAGACAGGAGCTAACTTGAAGGAACTTTCAATGGCTTTGCTGGAGGCTGACACTGAGTATCTAAAGGAAATCAACAGGGCTCGTCGTGATCACCGTGCCCTTATCGCCAGCAGGCCAGCGGGAATTGCGCTCCTCTTATGCTTCTCATTGCGTACGTTTCCTCGCTATTACCTCACTTGGTTGATGCTTCCATAAATATTATTCAGAGAAAAATTCGATCGGACTAGTAGGATTTTAGAAATCAGAATCAGCTGTGTTCTGTGACTTTGTAGTCGTAAACGGTCAACGCAGATGCTGTAGAGAAACTCCAAGACAAGATTACTCTTTTATGTCTTATTTTCACTAGCTATTGACTCAGGTTATATTCTCCTCACCATCGTATGATTTTCCAATGTTTCAATTTGCTCACTCTCTGTGCTTCTGTGGCTGGGACGATGCAGGAACTGATGATGCCAATACAAGGACTGGTGGACCAAATGGCTTTATGAGGAACGAGGAAGAGTATTCCCATGCTTCTATCAATGGCTTAAAGAAGGCTATTGACTTCTGCGTAAGCTCTGATTCGAGTAGATCAATTCTTTATTTCATGCAAAAAATGTGATTTCATGAGTTTCCGCTTTATAAGTAGCTGATGTTTTCCTTAATGGAATATGTTTGAAGCACTATAACAAACGATGCAATTTGTCTTGCTTCTTGCTATTACAATGTATGCTTATATCAGTTTGTATGTGCCAGTATTGTTAAGGTGACTTAGGCTTCATATTTATTATATTTAATATGCCCATTTGTGATAGTAAGGATGAAGCAATCTTGTTCAAGCAGTGTGGGATATGGATTTACATAGAACTTCAATAATAGTCCATTTACAATGAAAATCTGAATCTATATGTTATCTTTCTTTATGTTTGGACAGAAATATTTAGATTCTTTCATCTTATCATTTTGCCAAGACTAGTGCAGCAACCTTGAAATAGCCATGTCCTCATCTTTTTTTTTTTTTTTTTTTGGGTTTGGTTACACCTATTTCCTCATCTTAATATTTCCTGATGTTGCAGAGGAAGTGAAAGTAAAGCGTCCTAAGATCACGCATCAGACCTCTACCTGGTGATTATTTTGTTCACTATGTTTTCATGAAAGTAGTTGCTTCTTGAATATTTATATATAGATATAAACTTAGTTTGATCTGTGATGTGATAGGTGATGTAATGGCCTCATAACTTGGCTCGTGAGGGTTATAAGATTGATAGACCATAATATATAGAGGGTTTTTCTCTTGCTTGTTCTCTTGTCCTTGCATTTGAAAATGGTGATACCTGTAGTCGATATGGGATTAGATGAGATTGTTTGTCTTGGCCTAATGGTGAGTAAACAATCCATTCTGTGCTAAACCATTTCGTGGAAGAAAGCTAATTTCTTTGCAGTTCTTAATTTGAAACTCCACGTCCAGCATTACTTATAGGAGTGAGATTCGATATTCATTTCCCTAGCTGAGAATCACTTTTCTTGTTACTGGTGTTTGATATATATATATATATATATATAGTAACCTTGGTCATCAATCATTAAATCTTCTTATATAAATGTTTGTGATGAAATGTCTACATTCTATTCGTATAAGTAAACTAGTACTACCATATAATCTAATGAAATCCACTGCAAAATGAGTCCTGATTCTCTTCACAATGAAGGGGGGAATTATGGTGTATGCATTCTTCATATGTAACAAGATATGAATTCATTATGGACGTAGCTAATTTCCATTTAAAATATGTAAACCTGAATAGGGATGTCAACATACAGTCAAATGACAATTTTATTGTATTTACTTATGTTTTTTCAGCTTGTTGGTGTCGTTGTAGTTAAGGTTACTAGAGGACCTAAAATTGACTTTGTTCCAGGAAGAAGAGTAAGCTACGGCTCATCGTCAAAACAATACCTATCATGGAGTCATTGCTTCTTGTTAATTCATCAAAATAATACCAAAGAAGAATGTATTCCTGATGCTAAACAAGGTGGATTTTCCATCATTTTGCTTGTGTATCCACCTTTTCCCCCTTGGTTGAGGAGGAAAAATATCTACTTAGATCTTAATAAGAGGAAAAGAGGACATTCTGTCTATTTTCCTTTCATCTATATTATTAAGAGTTTTGAAAATCCAAGAGTCATTCACAGATAACTCGGTTTAAGGAAGCTTCTTTTTGAAACAATCTATCCTTGCTCTCCAAAATGAACATGGTGATTGGATCATAGATCAGAAAAAATTGAAGGACATGGCCTCAAGGTTTTTCAAAGCTCTTTACACCAAAGATTCCAATACTGAAGTGAATGGAGCCTTTCATGGCCAATTTCCCTCCTTTAAGAAATGATGAAATAGTGTTACATAAACCTGTTACTGATGTGGAAATTAAACATGCAGCCTTCTCTCTTAGAGCCCTTAAACCTCTGGGCCGGGATGGTATCCAGGTACATTTCTTCCCCAAACAATTGAATATCATCAGAGGCTAGATATGTCCGCTGTGCGCTCAGCTTTTAGCAATCCAAGCAGTGTTAGAAAGATAAATTAGACCAACATAGTTCTTATTCCAAAAGTGGACAGCCTCACTGACCTGAAAGAGATGAGGCCTATTTCTCTGTGTAATGTAACTTTCAAGATCATCACCAAACTCATTGCAAACTGAATTAGATCCGTTTTGGATAAGTTTATCCAACCTGAATAATGCAGTTTCGTCCATGAGGACCAAGAAGCAAGGTAGGAAATATATGGCCATCAAAGTTGACCTGGAAAAAAGCCTATGACTAGCTAGACTGGGATTTCATTAGAGAAAACCTTCTTGCTATTGACTTCTAGGTGTAGTTGATAGAGCTCATTATGGTCTGCATCAACACTTTAACTATGTCTGTCCTTTGGGATGGTGAGGAAACGCCCAGCTTTGAGCCTTCGAGGGGTATTTGCTAGGGCAATCTTTTGAGTCCATACATTTTCATCCTTTGTGTTGAAAGGCTTGATCAATTGAAAGGAAAAGGTTAAGAGGAAGAAGTGGAAGCCCACAAGAATTTACCCAAAAAGGCCCATTTTTATCACATCTCTTTTTTGCCGATGATATAATTCTATTTGCAAAAGCCTCTACACAAGAAGTCGAATTTATCAAGAAAATCATGAGGGACTTTTATAAAGCTTCAAGCCACAGGATGAATTTGAATAAAACAAAGCTTTTTAGTTTCGCTAATGTCCACTTCAATTGGGCAAGAGAAATAAGTAATATTCTGGGGGTTGGACTCCCTGCGGATCTTGGCAAGTACCTTGGAGCACCTTTAATTCATAAGCCTGTCACTAAAGCTATTTTCACTCTTGTCCCCCATAAAGTGTAGAAAAGACTGTTGGGCTGGAATTGTAAGTATTTGTCTATTGGTGGGCGTGCTGTCCTGATAAAATCTGTTCTTTCTACATTACCTTCATATTTGATGCAAACTATGCTTATACCGAAAGGAATTCTTGATGAGATTGACAAAGTGAGTTGAAATTTCCTTTGGAATAGTAACAAGGACAAAAGGAAGATGCACATGATAGCGTGGGATACTGTGAAGATAAGCACAAAGGAAGGGGGTCTTAGGATAAAACATTTGAGAAGGAAAAATAGAGCATTCATCATGAAACCGTGCTGGGTTTTACTTACTAAGCCAGAATGGGTCGAATGCTTGAGGGCTAAATATAGGTGCGGCGATGGTACTATCCCTATGATCAGACTATACCAATGCTTCTCAAGCCTGGAGAAGTTGTTAGTGTGTGGAAGGATTTCTAGAAAGGAAAATAAGAAACGACAGACTCATTAACTTTCGGTGGGACAAGTGGTCAGGTTTGAATCAACCTTTAATCTACTTTAGGACTGCTAATGACAAATTCATTAACCATTGGGCGAGTATAGCTTGATCGTTTCTCAGGAAGGAAGTTAGGATGTTGATAAATGGAGAAATATCCTTCATGTGGAAATTATTATTGAACTTCTTAAATTAAAGGTGCCTAGGGATATTGCAGATAATTATTTTTGCTGGTCCAATGCCTCTTCTGGGAATTTCTCAATCAAAGCTGCCTATGATCTTCTTGGACAGCAGGATAGTGGCCCCTCTAATGGATTCTGGAACAAACCTTGGAAATGGAAAATTCCTAAAAAACAAATTTTTTTGGTGGTAAACTAGCCAAGAAGGAATTGAAACTCACTCTCTCAGAGCCAAGCAGGCACTATCACCAAATGATAAATGTCCATGTGAGTGTAATACAGAGGGGAGTGTTTTACATCTTTTGAGAGACTGCAAATTTGCCTATGAGGTCTGGTTATTATGCATTAATCCTAACTACATGCAAAAAAATTTGGTTTGTCTTTGTATGAATGGCTCAAGTGGAATGCTACTCGAGAAGCAGGTACAGGACCCTTTAAAAGATGGCCATGGTATAAAGCTCTCAGTTTCAGTTGCTGGAACTAATGGAAGGCACGGTGTAACCAAGTTATCCAAGGGAAGAAATCGACCACTGCTGATGTGATGTATATCAACAAGCATGGCCTCCTAGAGGATGAAGAAGCTCGCAACCACTGACAAAAAATCTTTTGCTTGGAGTACTATGGAATGGATGCGTTGGAACCCCCACCTCCAGATTATCTTCACTTTGATATTCATGGATTGGTGAATTTCTCGGGACACAAAGCCTGTGTTGGAGTGTTGAGGAACTACAGAGGAGATTGGATTATGGGCTTCCAACAAAGTTTGGACATGGGAGGCTCCTCTGAAGCAGAACTAGAAGGAATTAGGACTGGTCTTGAATTGTGCAAGGAACACAGTTTGAACAAGATTAGATTTCACACAGGCTCCTTGGAAGGTATAAAATTGATCACGAGAGACTGTTCACCACATCACCCTTTAAGGTCAATCATTAATCAGATAAGGCACTTAATTTGTCAGTTGGAAGAGGCATAAATTCTGCATACAGGACGCAACTCAATCAGCTGTGCTGATTCACTTGCTTGGAACGCACATATTGTGGGCATGGGAATGAAAGAGTTACCTGAAGCTCCGTCATGCTGCCGAGAAATATTCCAGAAAGAGGAGAGCTTATTCTCTTCTAATTTTCTGTATTCTCCTTTCAAGCTCTGGCTTGCCTGATGTATCAAAAAAATAAAAAATAAAAAAAAGAGGAAGCTTCTTTCTCCTGCACTTTTTTCATGCTATGTTCAGGTAACTTGTGATTTGCAGTAGCATGCTTGTTAGCGTTCTGCCACTAATCGTTAGATTAGATCCTTGGGCCTTAGATCATTGCTTTATGTGAAAACTTATTAGTGGTATTTTTTTTTTCAAAGTATTATCCTCTGCAAGTTGCGATGGAATTTTGCTGGTTGGCACTTGTCAGGATGAAGATGCATATTTTTAAGAGATTATGCTGCATCACATAAGAAACTTTGAATAATGCAACAACTTGTCTGAGTATATGAAGAGACAATAAAAACTAGGGAATACTCGTCGAAAGAACATTCGAATATTAAAATACAAATTTGTTGTAGTCCACACTATAAAAACCAGCAAATGCACGGGCAAGAGTCTAGACTATCAATCGTACTGGTATGTGTGAATAAATCAGAACGGTGTGTGCCTGAGGTTAAAGACCCCATCATGCTTTTTTAACGGCATATGTCCTTGCCAGGACGAACGATGCGAGAAGCCTGGAATGAAAATGATTTTTCTAAGCTGAGTGAAGTCTGAAGCCTCTGCAGTAGGAATACAATCATCCATTAGAACGAGTGGACACTTATGAGACAAGATTTAACCACTAAAAACCAACACACATAAGAGCCTGATAACTGCGCGCCACTTTTAACTTGCGCGTGTCCTATCTAATAGTATGATTGAAGGCAATGGATATGTATTTACTTTAAAAAAAAAAATGAAGCTGCACAGAGTACGTGCACGGCATACATTAAATCAATTTAACTTGCATGACAGGAACTGTACTCTGCAATCGTTATTATCATGCATATATTGTTTATAGTAATGTCAGTAACCTAGTATTGAGTAGCGACCAAGATTTTGACTTGCCAAGCAATAACGTAATACCTCTAAAATAATCATTTTGTGCACCTTAATTTGCTGTGGGTATTTTAGAATCACTAGATAATAACAAATGGATGCAAAGAATCCGTTGTTTTCAGATTCACTAATATAAAAATTAAAATTTAATCAACTCGATTGATTATCTCAATATCAAATTGTTGATATCAATCTTTTTCCTTTCTTTCTTTTTTTTTTTTTTAATTTTCCCCCCTGCGATGCAGATATCGATCAGGGTGTGGACACAGGACAGACGCCACATTACGTGGTTGGTTCGGAAACTACCAATAAATGAAACAAATCCTATTGTCCCTGGAGCCAAGAGATAGGTCGTTCAATGATTTCCCTGACTACAATACCCCAACGGGGACTGATATTTTCTGTAAAGATGCCTATAATCAGCAGTCAAAGGGAGAATCTGTGGGGAGTAATTAAAAGGGAAAAAGAACACCTAATACACAATAATAATTAGTAATTAAGAAATATAGGAAAACAGAGAGGGAGGCATGGGTTGAGAAAGATGAGGTGGTTGTGTCTGACAATAATGTTACCAAACCCCCCGAAAAGAAATGCAAGAACATGGTAGGATTTGTTGATGTCGAGGAAGGCTTTAAGTGAGCCATAAATGTGTGAGAGAGGACGAGGCAGGGGCACATGTGGAGGACAGCCAAAGAGGTAGGTAGGTAAGGAGTACAGAGTTAGTCTTTAGGTCTCGGCCTATACCACTAGTGTACCTAAGCGCATGACAAACTCGTCTCCATGTGCTGTACACAACCATGCAATATGAAATGGATATTTTCTTCAAATCCTGTGGAATTGGAGAGAGGGCATTAGGTTGGCTAGGAATATGAATTGAGCATCCCAACCGCGCCAAATGGATTTAAGAACATGATTTGATGAGGGCGAACAGAAATAAAAGGAGAGTTAAGAGGAGGAGTGAGTCGTTTTCCAACTTCACTTTTGAAAGCGACTCCCACCCATCCCGCCATCCCTATTAAACTCTTTACCATCATCCACACATATGCCTGTTCCTGAGCTTTTGATTTACGATCTCCATTATCTGTTTCTATATACATTGCACTGACTAACACTCTAACTCGTGTTTTTGTTACTTGTGAATCATTAATTTATTGTCCAAGTAACTCTAATTTATTTTTAAAAAAATATATTCCTTCCAATTCTATTTATAAATCACTTTTCACATATTTCATTGAAATAAAAAAAAATCTTAAATTTTATTAACTCTATCTCATAGGTTTAGTAAGGTTTTACTTCTATCCCTATTAAGTAAAAAAAAGTTATTTGCAGAATTTTTTTCTATCATTTAATAAGGGTGAAAAGATAAAGATAAATATAAAAAATAATGAACACTCTGTTAAATAAGATAAAAATTAATTTTTTATTTTTATTCTGTAAACAACAAGAAAAATATATATATATATATATATAGAGGAGGGAAAAGAGGGAAGGGGGTTTCGGGGAGTGATAGTGAAAGATAACTAATTTTTGGGGGTGGGGTGTTAATATAGAAGGAGAAAGCAAACAAAAAGGCAGGGGGGAAGGTTTTATTGCTAGCCCTTGTGATTCATGGGGCGTTCGGTTGGAAGGAAATAAAAAGGATGAGAAATTTTAATAACTTTTATTTTAAAATTGAAAAATTAATTAAAAATTTTAAATTAATTTTTTTTACTCTTTCATTTTAAATTTTTTTATTAAAATATTTTAAGTTCACTTATCAACTTTATTAAAATATTTTATCCATAATTCCACTGCAACCAAACAAAGAGATTAGTAGCATAATGAAACTTGAATCACAAGGTTGAATCAATGGTGTGGTAAAAGGTGAAGCATTGATGCAAATTTCAATACAAGCCCAACCCCTCCAACTCTTCCAGAAACCTCTCTTCCCACGCCATTGGATTACCATCTCTCCATCTTCTCATATTATTATTCACCAAACAACTCCTGTATACATTTCTTCTCTCACTACTCCGCCATTATTTTCTATTTACACAACCTTTCCTGATTTATATATCAACAAAAAAAAAACCCTCTACATTTTAATGTACCCTCATTTTCTATTGATTTTCTTTTGGCCAACATTAAAATAAATAAAATTAAAAAAAGACTTTATAATGACAAGCTACTCATCGTTGCTGTATGAAAAGATAATCATAAAAAAGGAGATATTAACTCATTTCGTAACATTTGCTATTAAATGATTATTTTAAAATATGAAAAATACAAAAATCACTGTCATCTTTATCACCTGTTTTTTTTTTTTTTCCTGGTACCACCACTAAACACAGGTCTCGGATGTTACGTGCAATTCAATTCTCATATAATTTGTCATACAGTATCTTCTTTTTCGTTTTTGAAATGTCGATTTGGAGTTCCAAGTCGCAAGTGATGGTGTGGTCGTGTGGGTACGTGTACGCTGAATACCTACCAGTTTTAGGGCTGCTCAAACCAACAGCATCAATTTCGGATTTTTGGGTGTTTACCGGATGAAATGAGATTGGGATAGGGCGGTCCTGTTACAAATAGGACCAAGATTGGGATGCTTCACCGTTTCAATAAAATGAACAATGTAAAAAAAAATTTTGAATAATAATATTTATTAATTAAATTTTTAAATTATATAAATTATTAAGTTTAAAATTAAAACAATACAATTATATAAATCACAATAATTATTAAATTATATTAATGATAACTATAAGTATACAACTTAAAAGTCAAGCATATATAAAACATAATACATTATAATAGTAATTATAAGTAATTTTTAGGTTATAAGAACAACAACAACATACAAGCTGGACATAATAACAAGTCATTATTTTTTTTAGTTAAAATATATTAAGCTAGTGACTCTTTCAAAAATAATGCAAGATATATCATATAAACAAAATTTATTGAATAAGCAAATGTAAGAATAATTATATTAATATAAGTAATATATTGTAAAGAAAAATATTATCTTGTATTGATTGTTCTATGTCATTAAAATTATTAATATAAAAAAATTAGTTCTAAATAAGAATAACACATATATAATTAATATAAATATAAATTATATTAATATAATTGATATATTTAATATATATTTTTAAAATAAAAAATAATATATATATATATATATATAAATAAAATATTTGGGACAGGACGAGATCGGACGTCTTTAGGGCACACTTATATCCCATCTTCTCCCAAACTTCTTTTTCATCCTATTTCGATTATTTTTCTACTGAGACAAGACCCATTCTAATATGATCAAAATAGAACCGAGGTAATTGAGACGGATACAAATTGAATACTCCTAATTTATATATTTAAAATAGAAATTTTATTGTCTTTATATACCAAAAATTAGTAATGGTACTTATCAAATATAATACATAAAAGAGCTTTTTTTCCCCATGTCATACACTTAAAATGATAATTTAAATTTCCAAAAGTAATCAACTCATCTTTCTAATACATAACTTAAATTTCATTGAAATATATAAAATCAAGGAATAAAATAAAATTTGATGAAACTCAATTAAATGAATAAAAGAAGGATTTAAATAACAAAAATGCATGGAGTCCAGTGAGAGTTGCATCATGACTTTTGAATTTCACAGTGACGTTAGACAAATATAACGTGTTTGTACTTTTTACCCTAATGATTATTTATAAGTTCTAATTAAACAATCGACACTTCCGAATTCCCAATTTTTTTTTTTTCAATTTAATTTTCCATTAGGATTATGGAAGAGCGTCCACAAAGTAGAGAAAGCCTCAATCATTCTAAACAGTGAAAACAACATTGGACGAGTGATGTCAGTTCATCATTCATACTGTCTTAGAATGAGAAAAGGTTATTCGTCAGTGCAGTTATCAAGAAAATAAGACTTTCTGAATGCAAGGTCATGTTAATTACTTGTGTTACTTCCTGTAAATTGAGTCAAGTTTTGCAATAATTAACGGCATGATCGAAACTCACTCCAAAAACATAGATAAGAAAAGATATGGATAATGAAAATGGTTAGGAATCCTGTCGAGGAGAATGAATAAAGGTAGAGAAATTCAATGAAGAACTACTACTAGTACACTTCTTCCAGACCAAAAATACAGGATATTTATAACCACTTCACGATTTTTTAAAATAAGTTACTTAAAATTTTAAATTCTAAAAAAGTTTTTACATCCCTCCAACCTTATTGTCATTAAATAATTTGTAGAAGTGATTTGATAATGGCAATTAAAATTTCAATGCATCATTTTTTATAAAAAAATTAGTAATAAATGGAGTATGAGTATTATGAAAAAAAATTATAAAAACTATCCAGTTTCTTATATTTTGAATTGAATATAGTTTTTAAAAGATGATATGTATTGTAATCTAGAGAGAATATTATTTATAGTAATGGCAAATGATAAATAAAGGCAGTGAGATTTAATTGAAGTTGAGTAAGGGGGAAACCTTAATTACCACACAAATTAAATACTACTACGACGTGGGAAGCAACAACTAACAAGAGAGATCAGAGCATCTGTACTTTGATTATACGGGTTAGTTGAACACATGAAATCACGAATGAAGCGAACTTCACATTCTGGGATTAATTATTAAACTCATTCTGTGTCTTCTTCCGCTGCTTCTATAAGATTAACAAATAAGAATAAGACTAGGTTGCATATATATGCAGCTGCGGGGACCTGGTATGCAGTGCCGAGAGGTGTCATGTGATATGTGTTGGTTTTTTTTTTTTTTTTTATGATTATATGATGAAATCAGATTTGAGCATATACAACTCAATGTTAATAGCTCTTCCAAAAATGTTTTTTTAATATTTACATGAGCTCAATCATAAAATTTTGTGTTTCAGTGGTCACTGCACATTCTACTATAAACCAACACCCATTGATTGTTAAGTTAAAATATCATATTAACTTCAATTTTATCATCATAACTTTCAACTTCATGATCTTATTAATAATAAATATGAGGAATAACAAAACTTGTAGTCTGTTAAATTTATTTTATTTTTTGATTTGATCGTTTTAACTTATCTTTGAGGAGGAAGTAACACTATTAAAATTACTTGAAATGGATAATGCAATATTGAGTTAGCAATCATGTAGGTTGATAAAAAAAAATGTAATATTATTTGGACTTAAATAAGATAACAAGCATTTTTTTTTTGTAGAAAACATATGGTAATAAATGATGAGTTTAAAGAAAAATTTTATCCAATTGCTATCAAACTAACCACGTTATGTAGTGAATATTGAATTTTAAGAAGAATAACAAGAGTATATAGTTGAAATGAGAGAAATTAAAATGTTGATATGAATATGCATGTATATACAAAAAAATAAAATTTAAAATGAGTATATATCAAAAAAAAATAGGCGTGACACCTATTAAGCGAAAGATGGTATAAAATTATTTAAGATAATTTGAAAATGTCCATGAAAAATTGTGGGAGGCATTTATTAGGGGAGTATAATGGATAGTCTTGAATTTTATAAAGAGGTGGAGAAAAAGATTAAAGAGAACACTTATGAAAATTAAAAAATAAGATCTCTTAATTAATAATATTTTTAAAAACTTGATTGATGATAGAGTATAATAATATAATATAATTTATGTAGTTAATTTTACCTAATGAGATAAGGCTTGTTGTTATTGTTATATAAAAACAAAAAAACTATATTGATAAAAATTAAATTAAGTTGACAACTAATTTGCTTTCATTTAACCACATATACATGTCAAATTATCAAGATGCTTTATATCTCAAATTAATTTGAAGACCAATTTGTGTTTTATAACTTATAAAATTAACAAGATAACTCAAAAAAACTAAAAGACTAGATTGATAAAAATTAAATTGATAATGAAAATAAATTGGGGGTTCAAAGTTTCAATATTTATAAAAATATCACCTCATAATTTGCCTATTTAACTTTAATTGAATTTTTTTTAAAAAAAATGTAGGATCGATTGGCACAAGAGTGGAAAACTATTAATAATTTTGATTACCTAGATATTATATTGTGTGGAGATAAAAAAATTTTAATACAAGAAAAACTTCTTTGTGTCTCTTTGATTTTATTTATAAGTAAAACTATAGATTTCAAGAAGTATTTATAATATTTTTTTAAAAAAATATCACTCATAAAGTTGATGCTTATTTTCACTAAATAAATTTGCTTAATTAACTATAAGAGTAATTGAGTCTATATTTTTTGATTTCAGATATAATTATTATATTTAATTGATTTTTTAAAACTGTGAAAATTGATTATTTTTTATACTTCCTATGTTAAAAAATACAAAATATTTTTAATATTTTAAAATATAATTATTGTCTTTTTTTCTTAAAAGTATTGCTATTGTTAGTGATTTTATATTTATTATAAGATATTAAATAAAGGTAAATATAAAAAAATAATGTTAATTTAAAAATAAATAACTATTTTATTGGGGATGAGATTTGATTAAAAATGTTTTATATTTTTAAATAAAACAAATATATGAAAATGAATGGAATATTAACAATGCGGGTTGGAAAGTGAGAAGTGTTAATGGATGGTTTAAATTGCGGCCGTGTAATTCTTGCAAAGAAAGACAAGAAGAAATGAAAAAAAAGAAATGGAGGTTGGTGAAGTTTATGGTTAGAGAAGAGGGGGAGGAGGCAATGTGGAGGAAAGTTGCTAGAATGATTAAATATTATTTATTTACCAGAAACGGGCTTGGCACATGCTGTGCTGGGGGGTTTCGGCATATCCATACCATACTACTCTACTCCACGGCACTGGCCAACCTCAAGCCTATGCTTACCCCTCCCTCTCATCTCATTTATTACATATTTACATTTGCTTCATCCCGAGAGAGAGCCTTCCCCCACCAACTCACTCCATCTAGAAGGTCTCAAGGTGGGTCAAATCAAAAGCCTATAAAACTCACTCCCTCTGCTCGTTCCACGCCGACCTTATTGCCGCTCTCCCAATCAACCAACCACTGACTCTCCCCCCATGGGAAGGTCCCCTTGCTGTGAGAAGGCTCACACCAACAAAGGTGCCTGGACCAAGGAGGAAGACGATCGCCTCATCTCTTATATCCGCGCTCACGGCGAGGGCTGCTGGCGCTCCCTCCCCAAGGCCGCCGGCCTCCTCCGCTGCGGCAAGAGCTGCCGCCTCCGCTGGATCAACTATCTCCGCCCTGACCTTAAACGCGGTAATTTCACCCACGACGAAGACGAGCTCATCATCAAACTCCACAGTCTTCTCGGCAACAAGTAACTTCCCTCTCCCTCCCCCCCCCCCAACTCCTTCTTCCCTCTCCCCCTACCATTTTGCTCACCGCCTTTCCCTTCTTTTTTTAAACTCCAGGTGGTCTCTCATAGCCGGAAGATTGCCTGGCAGGACCGACAATGAGATCAAGAACTACTGGAACACCCACATCAGGAGGAAGCTTTTGAACAGGGGAATCGATCCTTCCACTCACCGCCCCCTCAACGTGTCCGCCGATTCTGCCCACCCCAATCAAGACGCCGCCACCATCTCTTTCTCCAAACAACAGGATAGTGATGACGGCAAGGCGAGCGTGTTCGCCGACCTTCACAGGGATGCGAAAATGGGTGTGGCCGTAGAGCGATGCCCTGACCTGAACTTGGAGCTCACCATCAGTCCTCCTCATCAGAACCAGGAGGCGGAGGATCGAGTTCAGCCCATCCTCAAGAGCGGCGGAGGAGGGAGAAGCCTCTGTTTCGCTTGCAGTCTGGGTTTGCAGAACAGCAAGGAGTGCAGCTGTGGAATCGTTGGCAACATTAGTGGCGGCACTAGCGGGAGTAGTAGCGCCGGCGGCTATGATTTCTTGGGGTTGAAAAGTGCTGTTTTGGATTACAGAAGCTTGGAGATGAAATGAAGCGGCGGACTGTACTTTATACTATAGCATATCATTGTTGTAGAACAGGAAACGGGGAGGGAGAGTGATGTTGAATTGTTAATTTTGAAGTCTTCTCTTAATTCTCTTCTCCTCTCTAGATTGTATAAGCAATTACTGATGCATAGGATATAGTATAAGCCGTACAGTTGACGCCGTGATCATCTTCCTCCGTGCAGCTCCCCCCTTATTCATTCTGCTTCTTCCTTCCATTGTCTTTCTCGAACAACAAAATTTATTCAATTAATTACTTGCTGTCCTAATTGGTAATCCTTACAATCAGCATTTCTACCAAACGATATAACAATACTATCCTACATCTACTTGAGTAGATCTTTCTAAACGACAATAGAGGGTAAAAAAAAAAGTAATAATCAAATTCATGTGCATCATTGCAGGGTGTCAAAGAAAATTTCCAAGTCACATATACTAATCTCCTCATCTCTCCCGGTGGATTGATTCATTAATTTATTAATCACATCATATGGTAGGGGTCTAATTAAGTTGATGATAACGCATTGGCCGGAGCATCACATGTTGCATCCGTGGAACTGAGCAATATAAGGACACGGCTAAACTGATGGGTTGGAAATCGAATGGGACAATGTAAAGATTCCAATATTGAAGCATGGGAGAGATGGAGGGAGGGGTTTGTCTGGTGATGGAGAAAAGAAGAAATGAGTGATGGAGAAAGAGGAATGGATAAGCGGTGAGAGGATGAGAGAGGAAGGAAGGAAGGCGAGAATGGCGGTGGGTAAGATATAAGATGCACGTTTCCAGTCGTAGTAATCCCAATACTCTCAAACAAAACACACACACACACTCTCTCTCTCTCTCTCTCTCTCTCTCTCTCTCTCTCTCTCTATGATCTCAAATCAAATGCGTGAATGAACTAACCTCTTTGTCCCTAGTGTACCTCTCACCATCTCATTTCTACCAACTTCCTAACCTTTATTATTATTATTTAGGTCATGATCTAACCAACTTCATTACTTGTACATATCATGAACCCCATTTATAAAATCTAATTCAGGGTTGCTCTCATGTACATACTTAAAATACAAATACATGGTTTTTTTTAATTATTTCAAAAACATTTTTGGCATCCAATATTTTTCTTCTTGATACTTGGTCACTACTGGTCATTAATTCTTTTATGTCACTATAGCTCGTCATACATGTCATTTACTCTCCAAGTTGATGATTGAATACCAGATAAACTAGGCACGCTCAAATAGTTGGGCCAAGTTAATGAAACCCAATGAAACGTTGAGGTGGAAATGATCATTCAATAAATGTGCGGGTTTGGGATTTGATTGAAAGGATGTTTCGTGGTAGGTAATTGGGAAGAAGTATTGAAGTGTGTTTGCAATTTTGGGCTATATGATTAAATGCAGCTTAAACGGTGTCAAGAAATGTTGATCGGATACAAGTTGCGCATGGGAAGGAAATAAAGGAGTAAATGGGGGGCAAAATATTAAAAAGCAGGTAGCAACTTAAAAATTAAAGCAAAACAGATAGTGAATGGATCCTACCAACCATCCAAATTTTTATCTGCCACCATTAATTCAGGGTCATGTCATGCCCTCACCATTCACTTCTTCTCCTTCCTTGGATTAATAATGTGTGGATGTTACCTCAACCTAACTAATACCATTAAACACACACCCTCACATGCAAGTGTGACTGTAGAGAGATACATATATACATGAACTGAATTGTTACAAATCTTAAAAAAAAAGAAGAAGAAAAAGAAGTATTAAAAATCAAATAAATCTATCACTGAATCGATTAAAGTATTGAATTCAAGGATTAATGATTAAAATTATATTTAAACTGTTATCAAATTAGTCATAAATAAAATATATCATGAAATTAATTCAAGCACTTATTTAAATGATTTAACTAAAATTTCAATACTAGCAAGACAAAGAAAGAATAGAGACAAGTAGAAGGAACAGAAGGGGGAGGTAGCTTACTTGAGAGCAGATCCAAACATAAATAATGGCCCTTCTCACTTATAAAGAGGAGCCTCACTTTTCAACCCATAAATCCCTCCCCTCCCTTTTTCAAATGTGTTAGGTAGCAACATTAGAAGCTTCCATGGGATATTTTATTCTTCATCTCCCCTTTCTCTTACTTCCTCTCCACCACTCTCACCTTTTTTTAAAGGAAAAAATCTGTGTTTTTCCCTTTTTCAAAATTTGATCCCATCAAAGTTCCAAGCAACCATTTATCTCGAAAAGGAAGTTTCCTTAATTTTTTTTTAAAAATAGTCTTATTGCAGTATAAGATAAAATTAGAGATTGTGAAATGAATGGATGTTGCTGGAGGTCCTGGTCAGAGGGGTAATTATCGCGAATTGTTAACTATAGAGGTTCAACTTCCACCAACATCACATGCATGGCCTGTGGTGGGGTCGTTGCGGTTCACTTCTGTATCCTCGCCCCATCAGATGACCTTCGCGACTTCCCTTAATCAATTGTTTGGTACCACTACTTTTATCCTCCTCTGTTTATTTTGGCCAAAACATATATATATATATATATATGTATGTATATATATATGTATGCATGTATATATATATACAGTGCAAAAGTTTCCCTTTCCAATCTAACCCAATCTAATCTAAAATGGTCATGTATTATCTGATTCTTATAAATACTGGTCCTTCAGAACAAAAAAAAAATTGAAAAAAATTAGACTATTTTTTCGTGTTGGACTGAACAGGAAACTGGACATTTGGATCACTTGATCCAATTCAATCCTATTAATTTATTTAATATAATTATAATTTATTTATTTTTAACAAATGTTTTAAGTATAATTGACGTTAAGGAAATGGTTATATGAAGATTTGTTGAATTTGTTTCTAAATTATTATTGTAATGTAGTGTTGTTGAAATTTGTTGAATGTTATTTTTGTTGAAATTATAAATTTAAATCGTTTGGACTATAATTATAATATTTTTTGTTGTTGTTGGAAATGATTTTGGATTTAGTATGATTATAAGTGATTTTATTATCTTAATTAAGTTTATTAAGTTAAAATGGATTATTGCCTCTCATAAAGAAAAAAAGAAAAAAAAAAGCTAAGTGAGTACTAGACTAACAGAATCAGTCTTCCAATTCTATGGACCAAGTTCGATTTTGTTAATTTTTGAGTTATCATTAAACAAGACCAGATTATAGGTGGCCTAACGCAGTCCTTTCATGAAAGAGACCAGGCTTTGAGTTGGGCTGAAGTCCAGTGTCATTTAATCCTTTGTGCGGCCTTATTTTCAAGCACCTCTCTAACTATTTCATTGATATTCCATATGATGTCTTATATTAAGGATTAACGAATTTTTTTAGAAAGCGCCTTATATTAGGGACCAAAGAAAATTTTTAAGAACCAATTGTATATGATTCTTTACACTTAATAGATAGTGTTATAAAATTAATGGATCATAAAAAAAATTTGTTTTTCAAAATGTTTTAATATAAACATTTTAGTATATCAACCTTGAGAAATAACATTCACATGTACGTGTGTATTTAGTATCTATGCAGCAGCACAAGTAGACTAAGTAGCTTGGCAAAGGGCATGCAGCTATTGCATATTTTACTCAAAGGGGTCCACACAGTTTGTTCTACTATCATGTTTCAACATCCCTTGACCCTGTTTCCATTGCTGTTTTTATCTACTAGTTAAACCAAGTCTCTGTTTTTTTTTTTTTTTTGGTTATGTCATTAATTAACACGTAATACTCTTTGTCATCTTGAACAGAAGAGCTAAATAGCTAATTGACAGGTATTTTTTAAAAAATAGTTAATTAACTTATTTAAAAAAGACGGGTCGATTTCCCTTAAATTCCGATGGTGGGAGGTTGAAGGAGAGGGAATGGAGAGGCATGCAAATAAGGCAACCAATAATTTGTGGATCCTCTTTGTTCATCAACTTCAAAACAATATCCTCCCACCACTGTGCTGTGCCGTATTGATGCATGCATCTTCAAATGTTTAATATCGTGATCATTATTATTATGGCTTCAAGTTTTGTTTGCAAATTAGATTATATTATATTGAGAGCCCCGTGATGGCTGATATGGAATTTTAATTTAATTTCTCATAATTCTTTTGTTAAACCATATTCAGTATCCTAGAGTTATCCTAATTGGATTGAAGTGGAGCAAAGCATGAAGGACAATAGACTCGGTTTCGATGCTCAGCGCCAAAACACTGCCATTTGGCTGTGTGTGTGTGTGTTTTTTTAAAGCACAAATTTATTATACTACTAATAAATAAATATTATAAAATTATTATTTTAATATTTAATAAGTAAATAAATATTAAGATGTTAAAATTAAATATGAATAGATTAACTCATTAAAATTTAATTTGAACAGTTCATATATAAATTTTGGTCTGAACAATTTAGAATTGTATTGAAAAAATTAAAATTATAAATAAAAATATTTTTTAATTTTATTAATTTTGTACAATTGTTTATCTATGAGAGATAATATCATTTGAGGTATAGTCAAGTATTAAATATAGGTACTTCTCTTAATAGGAATTCAAATATTAATTTATTATAGTGTAAGAAACTGACTTATTTTGCTAGACTCAACTTTTATTTTAAATTATTTAGATCATTTTTTATTTTTTTATTACAGTTTTCAATGTTAAGACCAAAATTTTTATTTAAACTATTGAGGTTAATTTTAACATCTTAATATTTATTAATTTATTAAATATTAACATAATAATTTTATAATAATTATTTATTATTATAATTAATTTATGGTTTTAAAAAAGTTAAAAAAACAAACACTGTTGTTTGGTGATGAGCCGTGCTCATCTTAAATGAGCACCGAAACCGAGTCCGAAGGACAACAATAGTGTTTGATCAAAGTATGTAACGAGGATTGGAATTTGAAACCTGTAATAGGGCGCCACCAACCACAGTGATAATGGGCGGCCTTTCCACGTGCCTTTGTTGCGGCTCTGGGCCCCACCCCTTTCCCTTGGTTTTCACCCCCTTCGTCCTAATCATCTTCCTTAATTATCATGCCACGGCTCTAATGGCCCCCATCATGTGCGGCTTTTACCCTCACCACCCAAAACAATGAGAGGGCAAGGACTCTCCACTTTTTTTTATCATTTTTTTATTTTTTTATTT